CCTCTGAATATCTCCACTAGACCTCCAAAGATAGCACAGAGCTTTAAAGTTTGTACCAGAAAGAAGGAGCTCATTGCACTGTATATTGTCTGTCAGAAGTAAGAATCACTCACACTGACTCATAGAGAAATGAGTAGAAGGAGTGGGTGTCTATGTGGGTGTTTAATTTGTCAGGACAAGTGGGGCTCTGAAAGCATCATGGTTTCTCTTAAAAAAAATTGCCTATCTTCAATGCAAGGAAAAGGCAAGTCATCACAGGGAAAATGCAAAATTTTATTCTGCTAGGTCAAAATCTCCTGTTTATTTCCATTATTGTTCTTTCTTTGCTAAAAGTAACATTTTCAGTGACAGAAAATACTGTGGTGCCTAAAGTCTCACTGGCAAAATAGATGATACTCAGATAGGAAATCCAGAAATGAAGGAAATTACTTCTGATTGTCGAGCCCAAATCCCCCATCGTTCTTGAGAGCAGCATATATAGACCTCAGTTTCTAACAACAAGCTCAAAATCTGCCATCATTCTCACTCAGTAAATTGTTTATCAGTGAAAGCTTTTCAAAGCTAATCCAGTACTCAAAGTGTTACCTGCAGACACTGAATTAGAGACAACTCTCTACCTCCTGGCACTTCCACAGTGTGAAAAGCACAAGATTATAAAACTGTTCTCAGACTGAGCACTGTGTGCCCTCCCATGAATAAATTACACTTGTGGAGATGACCTGGGACCTCCTGCCAGTCAAGCCAAATGGAAGGAAACAGACAGTAAAGTGGGAGAAATCAGAAGTCAGTGAAGCAAACTGTGATTGTAATCTGTCTACATGGATGCTGGATAATTTTAATGTAGAGATGCAGTTGATACATTCTGATCAGATTTCTGCCTTAGTGAACTCATTTTTCAGAGCTGGCATTGCTGGGTATCACAGGCCAAGAGTTCATGCTATGAGTGAGCAGAGACCATCTAATCTGCAGAACATTTTATCAACTCAATTACAATGTAAGCCATTACACTGTAAAATTACATCTCTGTCAGCTGAGAACTTCGGGCTATTAAAAGTAGATCAAAAGACAGAAGTTAAAGAACAGACTTTTGAACTACTCTACTGTCCTATATTTTGAGATGTATTTCTTTATTGTCCTAAAATATTACAAGCAGTAACAGTTTATCTGTTCTCCATTGTAACCATGAAATTACAATAGTATAATGTCCAATTAATATGCTCTTTAAGGATTTCTATTAGAAAGCTAATAATTGAAATAATGATGTATCGTGTAAGGGCAGATAATAACTTGAAAGAGTACATTGCTAACTTTAGATTTAATACTTATTCTGGGCTGAACTGGGATATTCATGGAGAACAACTGCTGCTGACAGGAAATTATGCATTCCCTAGACACCTGTCTACAGTGCCTTTCACAAGAGAAGAGAGTCACAGCTTTCTGTTATGTTGCTGAGAGGAAATCAGTGACCCAACCTAAAAAGTGCAACAAGAGAATAAAGTGATTATAACAGACTGAAACTTGGCTTCTAAACTAGTTTGGCTTTTATTTTGGATTTAAAAATATATTACAAAACAAAAAAAAAAAAGACATTCAAAATTTGTTTAGAGAAAAATTTTAATCTATTTTAGTTAGAGGTAACAAAATTGGTTTTTTCTTTTAATCATGTTCATTCTGCAGAAACTTCCAGTGATGCTTGATTTTGCTGCATAGAAAACATGAAAATTCTGTCTCCAACAGCCTACTAGATACTTATTTAGCAAGAGAAGTGCTGTAGAAGTGCAATTGAAAACAACATTTTTATGACATTTTTTAATTTTCCAATAATTTTTTTTTCTTACACAAAAACTATTTGATCATAGATTTTTCTGATCAGTTCCAACTCTTATTTCCAGGGAGCTCAATTCCTTCCTCTATAGTCTCAGTACCACATGAAACTGGATGAAAAATATATATATATATATCTTCTGTATTGTTCCATCAAGCCCCTTCAGGGTGCAAGTGACACCCACACTTTGAGCACAAGATGAAGCTCCCTGAAGGCAGTTTTAGGAGTACTGTGCTTTCAACCCATCTTTGAAATGCTTTTCTGAAGCAGATGGGTTAAGAAATTATTTAAAGACACATAGATAAACATAATAAGAACCTTCTGAACATTTTTCTGAGTATGTAATAATTTCTGGAAGGACTTACAAAACCAATACATGAGTTTAAAAGGCTAAATTTTTGTTTTAACAGCAGAAAGCCTTGCTGCTTCTTTGCTTCACATCTATCAGCTCCTTTCTCACTCTGAGACATCTGGACAAGTCTAGAGCATCTCCACATGCAGTGAAATTGAATACAAGGAGAAATCAGAGGTGATCCTCTTTGTTTTTTTCAAGCAGATCTTTCTTTTGTTATTTTCTCCTCCCCACTGTGGATGTCCCTCCCAACCATCACCTTTAATTTCTTTGAGCTCTGGAAGTTCACAATAGTTCAAAGTCTCTGCAGACTAAGGAAGACATCCACTAATTTCACTTTCCATTTCAAACACAAACAGGATCTTTCCAACTTGAAATGAGATTCTTCAGTCATTAAAAGATGTCTAACCAGAGACAAAAAAACCCAAACTGTGTCCAGCCAAAATGCATTTGTTATTTTTCCTACCCTATTTATATCTCATGCTGTGGGACGTATGCAATCGACTGAATCTACATTTGTGCCTTGCATTCCTTCTCACATCTGAGAAGATGCAATGAATCATAAAAGGTTTCATTGTTGCAATGTTTTGTCATGGCATGTGTAATCAGCACAGACCCCATTAAAGAGGTTTTGGAGGATGAGAAGTTTAAATATTTAATGCTTTTCTGCCTATGATAAGTTTAATAATTAATGCTGCTTCTACCCTGGAAATGACAAATCACACAACAAGCATGCACAATAAAAGAAACAAACAGGGGTAATAGAGAGGAGAACCTTGCTTAGAAAGGAGTAATTAAAAATGCCTGTAGCCTACCTCAGGATCCCAAAGTACTTTGCTCCTGACCTCAAGAGCAGTTCTGTCTCTCTATTAAGCCACCGAATTTTGGGGGAATGCAGAAGAGAAGGGATAATTGCTAGCCTTTACCTTACACATGTGAGAAATAATACACAGGAGTGATGAGCCTAACAGTCTTGAAGACTCCTTCACGCACAGGAGAGAAAAGGAAGAATGTGAAATCTGTTGTCCCTTCATGTCCTGCACATGGGAGCCAGCCCTTCAGTTATTACAGAAACTTGTTACATGGCAGCCCAGGAGCAAGATCTGTGTCTGGTCTAAACAGCATCGTAGCTGCTCTAGCGCCAAGCAGTACCTGCAAATACCAGTTCTTGACACCCTCTGAATAATTTGTTTTATAAGACACTACCACCAGCACATTTCTCTGGGTACATGCTCCTCCACATCCACTCCCACTGATGATCTGCAGGTATGTGTAACCTTCAACCCCCACTGACTTGCAGCTAAAAGATAATTTATCTCACGCACTGCCGTGCTGTAGCGCTGGACCACGCTTATGCAAATGCAACAGAATTAACACTGAAGGAAAGCACAAAGTATAACTGTAATAAAACCTTCTGTGATTCACTCAATCTAGACATGTTTTCAAATTAGTAGCATTATAAGTCTGTCAGACAAATAGGGCGAGCACTTTGATATAGACATTGCCACTATATCCTTCTTTCAGGGTGGAATCCATTTTCCCTAAACCCAGGTCTGAGATAATCATATTGTGAGAGAAATAGGTATAGCTAGAAAGTGACTCATCTTACCTTTAGAGACCCCTAAAACAGGTCAGGTGACTCATTCCCACCTCCTAAAATTGAGAGCCCAGTGTGACTATTTAAGGCTGAGAAGTAACACCCTGTAGATGTGTCAGTGCAGCCAGAGCATGGGCATTGCTGCTCAGTCCCTGTCAAGCTGCTGGAGCACACCCTGACACCCTTCTGGCTTACACCTCCTTGTTGTCTCCTGAGAAATTCTCAAGCAGAGGATCATGCCCAACAGCTAATGTGGATGCAGCCACTCTGTTTTGGAGGTTATTGTAGTTCATAGAATGGTTTAGGCTGGAAGGAACATTAAAGATCATTTAGTTCCAAAGCCCCTGCCATAGGCAGAGGCACTTTCCATGAAACCAGATTGCTCAAAGCTCCATCCAACCTGACCTTGAACACCCAGGGAAGGGACATTCAGGACATCCACAGCTCCTCTGGGCTTCCACTGCCTCACCACCATCAAGTAAAATAAAAATTTCCTTGCATCTAATCTAAACCTACCCTACTTCAGTTTGAAGAAATTCCTCCTTGTCCTATCACTACATGCCCTTGTAAGAAGTCCCTCTCTGGCTTTCCTTTAGGCCCCTCTAGGTACTGGAAGTCATTACAGTTGAATATATCGGGTGTGGTCAGACTGCACCTGGCATCAGTGTCAGAGAAAGTGCCCTGGCACTGCAAGCTGGGAGAGGTATTGCCTTCAAGAAATAAGATCCAGGGGTTTTAACATATTAACACTTTGCCACAAAACAAGTTTTTTTATTCTATTCACTGTCTAGTCTTCTTGAATATCCTGTCTTAGAGTGGGCTTTGAGAATTTAGTATGAAGAGACAAATGAGGCTTCTGACAGTAGACGACAAATCTTTGCTAAACTCAATCTTTTGCAATAAAACTAGGTTAGAGTAAAGAAGTGTTCACACATACTCTGGAAAACCAGGTCAGTCACATCAGTGACAGTCCACAGCCTTTTAAAACCATCTACATGCAGAAAAACATAAAGATGTCACATCTTCTAAAGAACATGTCCCTTAATGTAATACCCTTCACCCACTTATCCAAAGATTTTCTTCTTTTCTAATGGAGGTGCATAGCACAGTAGAGTGTCTCTGCAGCATAGCCACAGCCAAGGGATGCAGCTGGAACTCCCTGAAGCCTCTTCAGTGATGCAATGATTTTTCCTGTCAAGGTCACAGCGTAGTGCTCACTTTGGCTTCTATACCCATTCTGACTTTTTTGACCTCAGGCAGCTAGTGCTGCTATAATTTGATTGTGCATCAGGGCTTTTTAGCTCAGCTGAAGGGTAGAATCCTAAAAGCTTGCTCTGAACAGCAGAGGAAGAAACTGCAAGGGGAGACTGGATCCGAGGTCTCAAAGCCAGGGAAGCATCTGTAATGAAGTCTTGCTGAGCTCTGGGTCTCACTTGGCTGCAGGGAGTTCCTTGGTGGTCACTGGCACACGAGAGTTCTTCAGTGCTCTGTTGCTTAACAGCAAGGTCCCCTGATACACAGCACTTATTGCTGAGGCTAGTGCTGGCACTTTGCTGAGGGACACCTTCAGGATGAAGAACAGCCTCTTCTTCCTCTTCAGAGAGAAGTGAGCAGGAGCCATCACTGGTCTGACAGCTATTTGCTACTGGGCCATCCCCATTTTGAGGTGGAGAAGAGCTGCTGTGCTGGACTGGGGGAGGATGTAGCATGAACTCCTTCTCTGTGCAGAGCTTTGCCAGCAGCTTGTTCTTTTGGTTTCTTGCTGTCATTCTCCGGAGAGCACAGATGAGATCTGCAAGGCTGAGCAGGAAGGACAGACTGCTGACCCCCCAGATGAAAATCATCATGATGGATTTCTCGGTGGGCCGGGAGATATAACAATCAACAGTGCTTGTGCAAGGTGAGTGGTAGCATGAAAAGCGGTCAGGAACAAAAAATCCAAAAAGAAAGTATTGCACAGCTGCAAAGGCAACCTCAAGTAGGGTCCTAATAAAAAGATGAATGGTATATGCCCCTGAAAAATTAAGGACACTTAGGTTGCCTGCACCACAATCTACTCTACTGACGACTGCACTTCTACAGACCTCCTTCACATCTTTGTGGCTTGATAAACCCTTGCTCCTCTTGCACTCATTCACCAGACAGTGCATTCTTACCATGTACATAGCTACCTTGTGCAAAACATAAATGCTGAATGCAGCATAAGGCAGCAGGATAGACACAGTCTGAATGAGCCAGAACCTAAAGTGAGATACGGGGGAGAACAAGTCATAGCAAACATTGGAGCATCCTGGTTGCAGGGTGTTGCAGACAAAGCGCTCCTGCTCATCTTGGTAGAGGGGGTAGCCTGCCAACACCACCACTGCCATTCGCAGCAGAATTATCAACATCAGCCAGATCTTCCCTACAAGAGAAGGAAAGGTAAGAGAAAAGAGTCAGAGCCTGAGAAGGAAGGTAGGTCAAGCAGTGATTCTATACATGAGGCATTTGAAGAAATAGTCTCCCTTCTTATTAGCTCCATTTGTTGGGTTTTTTTTTTTGGAACTGGGACTGAAAATTCAGTGAAAATGTGTAGTTGACATATTCCATAATCTTCATCTAAACTCCACAATGTAGGAGTTAAACACACAATAAGCCATGCCAGCTGAAACATAATAAAAACACTCTGATAAAAAGAGAACAAAACTGACTGAAGAATCCTGTTTCGCTTACATTTTTTCCTTGTTATTGGATTCCTGCACCTGAATTTTGTCCTATTTCAATAATACAGATCAGGTAGCACAGTATGAGACTCATCTAGACAGAAAAGATTGCTCCATGACATAGTATTTGTTCTTGGTCTTTGCCGTGACACTGTATGAAAAGTTCACTTTTGCCAACTAAATCTCTTCAGGTGTGTCTAGAATGCTATTTACTAGCAAGCCATTAATTACTTATTATTTTTATTATTAGAAAATTTATTCCAAGCATTCTACAAATACACATTTGTGTGTGCAAATGTGCACCCCATTTCTCTCTGTTGCTTCTTTGGTTGCCCCATCTTGGCCATGATTTCCAACCTTCATTCACCCCAGTGAGAAGCTTTTCTCCACTCAGACCCGAAGTTCCCTTCTATCAAACCATTCTATGATTCCATGAAAGTCTAAAATCTTTTTCTGGGCAGGATGGAAAGGCTTAAAGATACACTATTCTGTTGTCAAAAGTTAAAAATTCATTCTGTACAAACACACATTCAACATCTGAAGTTAAGTTTAGCATTTGAATTTCTCATGTTTTTCTTTTTTTAATCCTGTCAGTAATTCCCTATAAAGTTTTGAAAAAGTATTTTAATTTAATAATCCCTTACAAGAAAAGAGGAAAAAAACTGCTTAAAAACAAAAAGAGGGGAAAAAACCCATAAAATAATTAGAAGATTAATTCTGTTTTAAAGAATAGTTAAGACAGGAATTGTAAACACAGGCAGAGAAACAGCAAGACACAGTGACTAAAGAGAAGTATATTATACAGAATTAATGGCTGAGAAATGTACTGAAAGCTCAAGCCATTAATAGTGAGTGCATATCTCACATGCACACAAGGTTTTGTGTGCAATCTGTGAAACAGCACCAATAAAGGCTTTTAAAAAATCCAGATTCAAAGCATTTTTCTATAAACTATACAATTATTTATTTGTGTTGCCTTGGAGAATTTTCTTCTGTATTTTCCATAAAGCTGTTTCCCAGTAGTTGGTGTGAATTTAAAATATCCAAATATTTCCACAGCATCATGTGATACCTAATATTGTACTAAACATACTGTTCAAGTGCCCTCTAAACATTTGTGGCCAGTAGACTGATTATGGGCTAGAACAGTAAAACTGCACTCTGTAGTGGAAAAACGTGAAGAATATGTAAGGTTCATGAGAGAGCATCAGAGAAACTGCTGCTCCTGGCAAAATAATATATTATCCAGCCATAAAAATTGAGGCCTTTCATTTTATCTTTAATCACCTGAGCTGTAGTGGTGGTTTTGCTGTGTTTCCAGCTTCCTGTGTTTGCAGGCTTACTCACTTTTTGATAGTGTGGGTCAATAGGAAACACCAGCTCTACAGAATCTATCATCTTTAGCAAACCATGTTTCATCTTTAGGCAGCAGTTTTTTTCCCTGTGAGGACCTCAAAGTCTTTGACGCTCATTAGTTAATTAGGTTCAAAATACTACATGCTATTTCACTATCAATTTTTAATTAGAACATGTACAATAGGGAGCACTGCTTAAGAAAAATCAATGGCTCCTTAGGAAGTAGTTTAGTGTGACATACATTTGAGAGATAACCCCTGCATGCATCCCCATCCCTAAAGACCCAATCTTGATTAAACATACAAGAACAAGCCTCTCCAGCAACCCTGCTGGGGCTCAGCTGGATGCTCCCTGCAGTGCACAGCATAAACTACAGCAACTGCTGCAGGCAAAGAGTCTTTAAAGGGCCCTTGAAAGTTTTTCTCTGGCTCACACTTTGTTCAAAGTAGCCCAAGAGGAACAGAATCTTATTTAAATAATAGTGGGGAGAAAAATAAACAGCAAACGGTTACCTAAGGAAAAGATACTGGCATTTTGCTTTGGTTTGTTTGGGTTTTTTTGTTGTTTGTTTTTTTTTTAATGCAAGTGATGCATATTTGTTTACAAAAATAAGGAATGAAAAGCAATAATTAACCACAATGGCAGCAACCACAAACTTTTTCCTGTAAAAGACAGTGGGTCTTCTGTCCTCTTCTTTAACTTTTTAATTTGTTACGAAAGCTATTCCATACATTCTACCATTCACTTTATGTGGTATAAGTTCAGCATTACTTCTGTGTGTTTTTACCATGATCCCTTCCTCCAGCTGGCAGGAAGCCCTGTGATCAAGAAGACCCAAATCTGAAAACCTTGCCAGAATATTTTACTCAATGTTCAGGAAAAACCTATCACAGAGAGAGAAGTAATCTGTTTAACAAGAAAATAAATACATTAACCTCTTCTATCAGGGATCACAAAAACAACTTACTGTACAGATCCCAGAGCCATAGCCTGAAATGAAAGTTGATTATCAGTAGGGCACTTGGGTGGCTTCAGGATATGAAGCAGCAAAAGAAAAAAGAGAGCTCTTTTAAAGTACTTACCTACAATAGTCACATTATAGTTGAGTGTGACTATCAAAAATCCCAGTGAGTCCCAGTGCTCCATGTTTGAACAGGCTCAAAACAGTTCCAGCTCCTGATGTCCTAACAGTTCTGTCATTTCCAAAGGAGATTAGACCTAGACAGGGAAAAAAGGGGGTAAAACAAGGGAATAAAAAAAAAAAAAGAGGAAGGAATTTTTGCTAACAGTCATGGACAGAAATCAGGAACTCAGCCAAAACAATGTGTTGAAGGATTATTTTGAGGATTTGAACAGGACTGTTAGTTTTGAATGTAGATCTTCTTCAGGCTTTAACACGTCTTGCAGAAGCTCTAGCTTGTCAGATCCAATTGCTCCTACCTCAGTGTGGATCCTCTGTCCAGGCAACTGCAAGTGGACAAACAACAACAGGAGGGATCTCTGCCATTGTAGACTATTCTTACCCTCCTGGGCCATAGCAGCCTCCTGGCATTGCTGAGATACTTCAGTGGTGAAAGACAGGGAGAGGAGAAAAAATAGCTTAGACTGGGAAATAACAGAGACCTCTCTGTCTCCCCACAAGAATTGCAGATGAAGAAGAGAAGGAAAGGGGATAGAAAAGGATGATCATCCCTGTGTTTGAAAGGCAACATCAGTTCAGGTCACTGGAAGCTATCCCATTGAAATTTCCCAAAACCACTTGGTTTCTAAATCAAAATTTCTTTGACAGAACACCATGGCCCTGTCAATCACAGCCAGACCAAACTCTCCTCTGTGTGCTGAGCCAGCCAGCAGGCTGAGCCTCCCTGCAGGCAAGATGAAAACCAGGGAAGCTTTAAAAAATAAAAATCCTAAGGGTGGGGCTGGTTTTCAAGATGCCACAGGTCGCTCATTTTTAATTTATGTCAGTCCTCTCGGCTGAAACCACTTGGTACTTCACTCAAACTGCTTGGAGATGACTCAAAAGATCTTAAGGGTGATTGGCCAGCAATCTGACACCCAGCAGCCCCTCAGCAGTGGTGGAGGGAGCTCCCACTTGGAGCAGAATGCCTGTGGGGTCAGTGCTCCTTGTCCTGGACAACATGTTACTCTGCTGTACCCCAGGAAAAAGCAGGGGTGAAAATAACACTCAGCTTTTCATTCCTTGCCTCATTTTTCACCCAGGTTACCTCAGGGAAAATAGTCTTCCAGCATCTTCCACCCACTGTCCAGCCAGTTCTGGGATGCTGCTCTGTCCTTTTTAATCTGTGCTGTGGCGAGGACAAACATACTGTGAAAACTTAGTCATAAAATAGTAACAATCACTAGAAAAGCAGGTGAAGGAGTCTGTGTGTGATACAGTAAGGGGGAAAAGTGATTTCCTGACACCTGTGGGGTGCCAACAGCCCAGGCACAGGCTGGGCACTGCAGCCCTGCTTGTGTGCTTCAACCCACGACTGCTCTGGGGGAGCAAGGGGAGCTCAGAAGGAGCTGCAGGGAGATACTCCATGAATTAGGGGCACTGCAGCTGGGCTGAGCTTTATGACTGATCACATCTGACCTGGGTAAAAGGTAAAACTAATAGTTTCATAAAGTAAAATATATCTGCACAAAGACTTTCTCCCCAGCTCTCTGCTCACAGGCTTTGCAATGCCCTGGCAGAACACACTGAGAGTCCTCTCTGTAGTAAGCACCATCCTAAGGAAAGCATAAAAGTGGGCTTTGAAAAGATGGCCCTTCAAAACCTGTTTAAAAAGATTTTTAATTGCAGTAGTAAATGTGGAAACGTTATTGGTTTCAGAATTGATTTATGTAAAATATTTGCCAAACTTTCATTTCTTCTGTTACCAAGTTCTATTTATGATTTGTCATGATGTTTTTAACTTCACTTACACACACACACACACACACACATTTTCTTTTTCTTTTTTTTTTTTCAACCACAGATATGTGTGTGTGAGAAGTAAGGGAAGGGAGGAAAGTTGGAGAAAGTCGATAGAAAAAAGATCCAAGTGGCCAAGATATTAATTATGCTGAGATATGGAGATATTCCTGGTTAAACACCCTTTGTCAAAAATAAAGTCAGGAATGCCAAGATGGTGGCAGGACACGAATGCTCAGCAGCTGCATCCACACAATAGGCTATAAATTGTCTCTGTCAATATTGTCAGTTAAAATATCCTTGCTTCTCGTTGCTGTGAGACCTCTACCATTTGTGTAAGAGGGATAACAGCTAGGAATTTAAGCCCCCAGACTGTTGCCTGAGGAACTATACCAGGCAACAACATCTGATCCCACAGCATGGATGCACTGAGATAGGATGGACCATTTTTTTCTAAAAGAAAGCAGTCACCCCCAGAGTCATGGTGCAGCTTAGCTTGAATTATATTTTATCTTTTTAAGACAACTTTAGCTTTTTTTAATTTTAGCTTTTCTAGACAGCTCATATCTCACTTGAATCCAGAGCTTCTCCTTTCTGTAGTGTGTCCTCTTCCCAAGCCTCTGTCATCGATCCAGGTTGGCCTTCAGTCTGTGGTGGTTGTTATAAAGTGTTTGGTCTCCACAGAACCACTGCCTTTAGTTCCCTCACCCCTTGGCTCAGCACCATCTCTCAGACCACGGTTCCCATCTGAAGATTTTCCGCATCATAGCTGAAGCTATTCACCATACAATCCCACTCGTTTATTATTTATCTTTAGCTGTTCCTTGTATTCCCTGTTGGCCTGTAAGGACTGTAAAGAAATAGGGAGAGCAGTATGGCAGACATGGGTGTAGCAGCAGCAGGAGCCAGCTCTGCAGGGCCACCAGCTGGTTTGGCACCATTCCCCACACCAGAGGATGAGCACCACAGCCCCACCACTCCACACATGCTCCAGCTCTAGAATCCCACAAACAACTCTTCGCAACCTAAATCTGTGAACTTGCACTGCATTCTAGTGAAAAAGAGAGACAGGTGGAAAAACCTGGGTAAAGTTAAACTTTGAAACCCAGCAGTACCTCAGGACATCTGATTTTAGGAAGGGCCCTAAAAGACACTGGAAAGCTTTCAGAGATAAAAAATGAAACATAAGAAGACACAATTAAATCTATTTTAAAATTCACAACTGCTGTCCACATTTATAACCCCTTACCATAGATCTAGGGCTTGATCCTGTAAAAATTCACAGATGTGACTCCAGCACTGTGAGAGACCCACTGAAACATTTTGAGCTAGTGGAACTGCATCTCACTGCAGTGTGAGCCTCTGCCACGTCCCCAGGCTTAGAGCTGGGTTACTTCACACAGAGCAAAGACACTTCAGCTAGTCCTTGGCTCAGAATGGCATCCAGAGGTAAGGCAGTGTTAGCTTGGAGCCACTTCAGGATCAAATCTGTCACCTGAATGGTGCCACAATCTACATCACACATCAAAAAAGCTCTCAGAAAATAAAGGTATTCCTCTGGCGTAGCAAATCCCAAACCCATCTGCCTTAACCAGCCAAGACCTACACTAATGACACCAAAGTGAAGTGAGAGATACTAAGGGAGACTGCACCCTACACAGTACCTGCCAATGAATCCTTCTACTAATTTAATTAAAGTTAAGGCAAAATAGGTCAGCAAAGCATCTTCCCTAATAGACAAAAGGATCTGTGATTTCAGTCCAGGTCCTTTGGCATATCATAATTTAAGAAAAAACACAGATGCATATCTAATATTTTAAAGTCTAATTTAAAAATCTATTTAGAATTTTTCTAGTTAGCAAAAGTTATGTATTAGTGACAAATCTTGCAGTAAATCTACCTCTTCTGAAGGTGATTTGTAAATGGACAGTCAGGAGAATCTATTTAGAAGGGACAGTAAGCATTAAAAGGCAATTTATCTTGATGGCCTTATTTTAAAATTTGTGAAATACAGCAGAAGGGGGAGAGAAAGTAACAAGCTGGATATGAAGGGCAACAGCAAAGTAGTAGGAGAAGCTGTCCAGAACAAACGCTATTTTTAAGACATATGTGCTACACACACACACACACACACACACACACACACGCAAATCTTCACAGCACACACACAGCCAAGGAGCCAGCACAGCATAGAAACCCTCTGCTTTACACAGGCACATGCAGCACTGCACACTTTGCATTCCCTGGGACCCCTGTCCAGCTGCCACTCTGGTGTTGCTGCAGGGAAATACGTTTGAAAGCAGCCTGTGCCCAGAACAGCCATCACAGCTATTCAGACAGGAGAGGGCAAGGCAATCACAGCTCCAGCTTTTGGGCTACAGAGCCTACACACACTGAGGTAGTGTAGTGCAGTGAATGTTTTCCATCATGAACTGTTCTGTGGGGAGCTTAAACAATGTGCTCCTGTTCCCCACTGCTCAGCCTCTAACTCATCAGTCCCCAGCAGCAGCAGAGTTGAGCGCAAGGAAAGGAAACTTTCAGCAAACGTGCCTCACTCTTCCCCATCTCTTCCTGCCTTCCATTCCCAGGGAGGAGCTGCATGCACACATGCTCAAATGTACGTAAATGCCAATGCATGTGTGTCTAAAACAGCCCAGAAGGACACCCAGAACAGTGAAGTTCAGCTCATTTTTAACTGCTCATACTGACTGACTTCCACACCAGCTCGGTCCTCTTGGATGCCTCAGCCTGGTGCCTCAGTGCCTCGCACGTGTTATGTTGTCTCACTGTTCCTCTCCTAATTTAGTAAACCTAAAAAAAGACTGTGTTTTACTGCATACTCTTAAGGATTTAGACCATTCTCCCACATTGTTTCAAACAGGGCCCTTTATTCTAGAAGTTTGAATATTCAGAAAAGTCAAATTTCTAAAGGGAACCTGCTTCTAAGAGGGTGACAAATGGAAAAAGCAGCCCTTCTTCAGACTGGTTCAGCAACTTCACAGCTGCTCAACCAAGAATTTTGAACACTTCAAGACAGATATGAAGGAAAATGAAGTAATGGAAAATACATTCTCATTCAGGAGCTCAGGGCCAATTTCTGCAAAAGTATTTAACTTACTAAGTAGTAAAAATACAAAGTGAGTCTACTGGATTTTCAAAAGCATAGTATTAGTATCTGCTTAACTCCCACTGCAATAGGTAGCTACATGAGCACATGACATTATTA